GTATGTATGTATGTATGTATGTATGTATGTATGTATGTATGTATGTAGGTAGGTAGGTAGGTAGGTAGGTAGGTAGGCATGCACGCATAATATATATATATATATTATGTGCCTGGAGATATTGGTGGCAATTTTGAGGTTGTTCTACCTCTTTATTCGACGCTTGCCCTGCGCAAGAGCAAATGAATTCGACTCAAATGAATTGGGGACTCAGAAATCCCAAGGAAACACTTTTGGAGATCATTGGAGGTCGCTTCCAAAGCACTTACTTGCTGATACTTACACCATCATACACCATCTTAGGCCCTTGACCGCCACTCCGAAAGGGTCCAGTGGCGCGCCAAAGCTGGTTGAAGCCACGTTTGCTTGAAGCCCCAAGACTCGCCCCATACTAGGACTTTTCTTTGGTATGCCCTTGTTACTAGTAGCTTCTAGCTACTAGTAGCGATGGCCTCCACCCTACTAACGATGGAGGCCAACCTAATAGCAATGTCCTCCCTCCAACCTAATAGCGATGGCCTCCAACCTAATAGTGATGGCCTCAAACCTCATAGCGATGGCCTCCAACCTAATAGCGATGGCCTCCAACCTAATAGCGATGGCCTCCACCCTACTACTAGCGATGGCCTCCACCCTACTCTCGATGGTCTCCAACCTACTAGTTACTAGCGATGGTCTCCAGCAACCTAATGGCGATGGCCTCCAACCTGGTAGCTTCTTCAAAGAGTTATTTCTTCTTCGCCCTCTGTCGGAATTGGTTCTTTTTGTTCATCTTTGTTCACTCGGTGCTTCTTTCTGATCTTTTTCTCTCCACTTCCTTTGGGATCCTTGATGTGAAGTGACGTCAAGGACTCTCTCGGATATCGCTCTTGATGTAAGAACTCCAGAGGCTGGCTGTGCCGCCCAAACGGTTCACTGAGTGGAACTCCTCCAGTGGGCGGCCGGCTCTACAACTCTACAAGTTTCAGGCACCTTGGGTTGTGCCAGTGGTCTGCAGGTGGAACTCCTCCTTGACGATCCACAAAGTCTTCAAGTTCACCCACAACGTGTGGTTTCTGTCTGCGTATGGCAGGTCACGTGGCAACCTCTTCCTGCGCGCTGATGTGCTTACAATTAGCGCTTCATTGTACACACTGCACTGGCAAACATCAGTGTCCCAATTCAAACTGGATAGAACCTCTTAAACAGGCTTCACCTGTACCTAGAGGGCCGACAAGTTCCCCCTCTGGGACTTGACATATCTCCGCCAAATCCCAATCCCCAGATCCTCCAGACCATGCTATTTTCCAGCGCCAAAGCGCATGTCCATCATCCGCTCGAAGTAGATGATGGCTCGGCTCCACTCGCTGCCCAGCCCACAAGCGCGAATGGCCATCTTGAACGTCAGCAGGTCTGGCTCGGCCGAAGTCATCTCAGGGGTCTGGTTCGACCTGCGGCGAGGTGCTCAGCTCCAAACGTTTCATCATGATATTGAGATATTCCACCACAGGTCCAAAAGACTGGGATTTAGAGATGGTGTTCTAAGTCCCAATGGTCGAGCCCTGCTTTTGTCAGACCTGGAGAGTGATAGCCAGAGCCAGATGTGCTGCCCCTAGGAGGTCCAACGGTATACACACAATTCATATAGAACAATCTCATAATAGCATCAAATAGCTCTCTAGACTCAGCTCATCTCAGCTCTGAACTTTCCTACAGTACATAATTGTTTACATGGAGCCTTTACTGATCTTCCATGTCTGACATTCATTCATCATCCATGTGACTAACGGACGTCCGCTGCCAAGCGTCAAGTTTGCAAAGGTGCTCAAAGCACCTTGCCAGTGTCGAGCTTGCAAGCATGTATTCATTGCGAAGGTATAGCACAGGATGTTCTCGGACGAGTCAGCGGACGGAGTGCATGTCGACTTCCCGTGGACTCCATGTCCATCTCGGTGACCCCATTGAGGGGAATGGTGATCTGGGTGACGAAGCTAAGTTTGCAACATGGGGTATTGAAGTTCGATCCACCTCTCTTTTGTAAGTGGCGGTCAATTCTGGATCGTCCTCGTATGACAAACAACCAAAAACAGTTCTGATCCGCTCTGGCAGCTTACATGTTGTTCAATTCTTCACTTTAAGAATCTTACGGCAGTTTGGCAAACCGGACGTGTTGAATGCTACAAACCTGTCCAGGCTTACTTTCTACAACCGGCTTCCCTGTTGTGGCCAACACATTGCAACTTCAATCCTGAAGCATCAATGCACCTGCCCAGTTCCTATCCCTCTAGGGATCCATAATATGCCGATATGTGCCTTTCACCAGAAATAGATGCGTGGCTGGAGCATTTTGGAATGGATTTGGAGGATTAAACTACCATGGGGAATGAACCTCCCCAACTCGTACTCCGAATTCATTTCCCACTTGCGACTATATACTCAATTTGTATTCCCGGATTCCCCACTTTTGATCACTTTCGTGTTCCTCAACTGCCATGGGGAATTGGTCCCCTCAACTCGTCAATTGTCCGAATTATGTTGTTCTTGTCTTGGTTTCCTTTCCCACTGAAGTTGGGGATGGTCAATCTGCGAGGGTCTATTGTGAGCCTTGAGCCTTAGGGCTTGGTTCCTGCGCCCCGGGCAGTTCGGATCACAACATGGATGGTGAACTGGTGTAAGGGGGAAGCTATGGGATGCGCATCAGGTATGCTTTTGGTGAGTACATCATCAGCCTCACATATAACTCGAAACCTAATTATATCTATGCCAATCTTCAATCACTTTTGTCAACTTCTCGTGTTGCGGAGCCCATCCAAGGTGAACTCAGCAAAATTCAACGGCTGAGTTGTTCTTGCTAGGAACACATCAATGACCAGCACCTCCAATGGTTTGTTAATAAAAAGACCCCGACCATCGATCAACCGTTTGACTCGCAGCTTCTTGGGAGGTCTGGGGTCAGCAGTGGCACTTGCCTAGAACAAACACATTTGACCTCCTTCTTGATAGGAAAAGGCCAGAAAACACAATTTGACAATTGATCCTCCAACACAAAGGTCAAGCAGGTTCTAGGTTGATATCGTCCGCTCTCCCATCTCGCGAAAAAAATGTTGCACAAACAGTTCCACCAAGCTCACATCACACCACGCACGACAGAAATCCGCCGAGCATCAGGCTTCAAACTGGAGAGGATGATGTCTTGGAACAAAAGACCTCGAATGTTCACGACATGACCACTGAAGCACAGACTTGGGTTTCATGTCAAACAATAAACGTCAGGAAAACTACTGAACAATCGTTGGGGTGCAACAAAATTCCCAGGAAACAACTTGGGTTGCATGCGTCAATAACCACCCGTGCATACCCGTGCCATGTCCGAGATGTCCCAAGTTCCAAAAGAATTGCAGCAAAAGCCACAAACAAAGCTTATCAAAACACAGCAATCTACGGTGGTTTCGTGTGGTTTCAGAATAGATGGCACAGACCTCAAGATGTCCTATCATGGGGGTTCATATAAATCACTCCTTGACGTCTGTGGCATCTACTCTCAATCCACTATACTGCGTGTGTGGCCCAAAAAACAGCAGTTCACGTGACGTGGATCGTTGTGGAAGTTCGTTCCAACCGGCTCCAATACATTCGGAAAGCCTGAAAGAACAATCAAGCAAGAAAGAAATGGCACATGATCTGCCTAGTTAGGCTCCAAAATAGCGGTAGTGTTACACAGTATATGGTATAACACGGATCAAAATCCAATTGAACACCCCCACAAACATCCTCGACCACCAGCAGCTTTCCCAGGCCTTTTAGTGGTTCGTCAGCTAAATCAGAGTGTCTTACAAAGCAGCCATCGCAGCACTGTGTTGTTTTCCATCGCTTTTGCTTCTGCTCGTGCTCGGTTTGCTTCTCGTGCGATCTCGTGTGTACATTTAGTATGTTGTCCATACTTGTCCACACAGACCTCTGCAGGGTAGGAAAGCATGATCTCTATATAGAGAATCTAGAGTCCATATTTCCACTGGATGAAAAACATAGACCTATTCGAGTTTCCGCATGTCTTAAATCGAGAGCGGTCACCGGGATCCAAAGGGATCTTCTTTGAGAGAACCTACGCCTACGCCCAGCTCCCCCAGGCAGGTGGTCTGTGCGGAGACATGATGTCGACTCAGTTCTTACGAAGTTCCTGTCTACAGATCAGTTCTGATCGCTTGTCAGTTCTTATCTACTTACCGAATTATATATACCTTCTTACCTAAGCTTGCAGCCAAAATCGAAAAATAAGGATTGTTGTTTCAAGCAGCGGCAGCGGCCAAGAAACCAGAGAGATTGGAATAACCCCTAGTCTGTTCTTCTGAGAGTGCCCAGTTGCAGAAAGAATGAGGTGCCTATCCACCAAATTGTTTTCTGCTCAAAATGGTGGAACCCTTCTCGTCAAAAAGTGAAAGTGTAAGTGCATCCAAGTTCATCCAAGCGGCTGCATGCCATTTCCCACTCTCCTTGGATGCGCTCCAGGCACACAGAAAAACATTGAAATTCGAGAATTGCGAAAGTGGGGCAGGGTCAAAAAAATGCCGGACCAGCAAGTTCCTTCTCCAAGGCTTTGTGTGCTATTAAATCATTAGGCTGCCCACTGGGCTGACTCTTCAGTCCAGGTCACTCGACTGAGGTCACCAGGTCTCGACCTCCAAATCGAAAGAACACCATGGAAAACATGCCCATGAGCAGTCCCTCCAGGTGCTCCTCTACTTGTGGATCTTCCACTACACCAACCAATGATGGACTGGACCAAATGCTCCACTGATCGGTCAAGGATGTTCTCACGAAGTGTGGACCTAGCTCAAATAGGAAGACCTCCCAGGCGTTCACTGCTGCAAGCGAGATTTGGGGGAAGTACCCGGTTTTCAACCACACGCAAAAAGCATAGCGGATTTCAAAAAAAAGGTATGTCTATATATATATATTATATATATATATATACGTATATAAGGGTCGATCAGTCGCTCTAGCAAAAAAACAGCCGGGTGTCCCTCCTCTTGGCACGCAGCGATGCACGAGATGAAGCTCGCCAGGTTCGCCGACACTCGGGTCTCATGCCTCGGGTTTCTGTGTGTTGGTGCGCCGTGTGTCACGCATGGCGGCAGCATGAACTGAGCCTGAAAAAAGTGGTCTGTTTGTAGGATCTAGACATCGTGAGTGCCCGAAATACTGATAGACATCTGGTGGCAGTTGCACGGATTCTTCCATATCTGCTTGAGGTTGCTGCAAACCTAAGCTTCCCATATCCTAGGCTTCGCATATCCTATATTGGACAATCCGTCGCTTCTGTTGCTCCGCTTACAGCGAAGCCGAACTTGGAGGCCGCTCACATCATGACGTGATGAATCTGAAAACAAATTATTCGGAATAGATTTAGGAAGTGCCCGAAAGTAATTACACACATCTCCTCAACTGTAATGAATGCACTTCAGGTATCTGGTTCTACTAGCCCCTTGCTCCTGAGTCCTGGCTTTCAGCCTTTTCATACTCTAACCCTCCCCATCGGATGCCCTTCAGCTGTTCCACCCGAACTGTCCACTTCGTCACCGACGTCGCTCGGGTCCACAAGTCGGAGGGAAGCCGCTGAGGACACAAGGGTGTCCGGGCGTCCGGCTCGTTCGCCCATGGTTTGAGTGTCTACTACAGCACTTGAAGTGCTCGGAATGTCCGGAGTTGTCATTCTCAAGAGTCCGATCTATAGCCAGAACGTGACCGACAGACCGACGGGTGAAGTCCCCGCGCGGGTTCATGCGTGTGAAATACGGGAACCGTGCCACCCCATCCAGTTTGTCGGCTTGCCGCGCGACAGGTCACGGAGGAGCTCTAAGCATTGAGACCATTGGCCATTTGAACATGCCTCACACGAGTGAGTCCATTGCGTTGCGGACAAGCACTAGGACGCTTCCGTGACAATCCATGTGGGGATTGCACCGTCAAAATCCGTCCAAAATCGGATCAAATTTGTTTACTCAAAAAGTAAGCATGGATATTGAGAGGACACCCCGGACATGACTTGGAACACCATCGATGACTTGGACTTCAGCTGGTCACAAAGGTCTTGATTCTTGATACTTCGGCCAACAAACCGTCCAATCACTGGAAAGGAGAAACATAAACAAATTAACACATTAAATACAAGTCCTGGATGGATGCAAATCCAAGGATGCCCCCATGGCTGTGTTGTAGGCAATGATATTGAGGTTCCCTTCCAAATCATCCTTCATTCTCCTGAAGAAGGTGGCAGCGGGGCAGTTCTGCCTCTGTACCCCGACACAATCCCGGTGTCCGACGAAGTTCTAGTTACCAAAGACGACCAAATAACTTTAAGAAACAGTAACCATGTATGAGTTTGGGGATAGGAGCAACCAATTGTATATGTCTATGTAGTGTTTGTGATGCTCTGACAAAAGGACAAAATGTGAAGTACTTGGATTCATCCACATTCATCCCTTCATGACTATACAACTTTTATAGGGACTAGTGGTTGCGACAAGAACTACTCACCAGGGCCAACCAAACCCCAGGTTCAAAGTCTCCTAAGATCCACAGATCAACCAAAAGGCATTTACCTCGGTTGACACTCTATGTGTTTTTCAATGCTCCACGAAGCCAAGTAGATCACAAAAACATGAAAACAACTGAACACATTATGACATTCCACGTTGATGTCAATTGCTTGGGTGATTGAGGTTGGGAATCCACAGGATGCATCGCCTTTTCTTGACTTGGATTAAAGCAACAGCGCAGCCAACAGTGGACTGCCACCCACCACCGTAGGCCTTTTGCAGCCCGTTCCGTCGCAGTGTGGGTCCCAAGTTCCTTCCTGTGAGCCGTACGTCTATGGTCTCAAATGGTGAATGACCGGTGAAAGCAAAGGACCTGCAAAGGAAGTCTTCTGATCGGTTGATTGGCGCTTTCTTTTTGTAAGGTGCTGCTACGATGAGAGATCCAAAGAATTGTTCACATAGTGTTCGATATTGTATTTTTTTCTATTTTTATGTTGGGTCTTTCCCATTACCAGTAACAGTGGATGAGGATGATGAGTGAAATAGCGCTAATTGTTTACCAACTGTTACTGGCAATATAGGACAAACTCTGTATTATATGCATTAGATGTGCGGGATTCATCAAGACCAGTAGCTCTATTTCCCCCTGAGCCTGAGACTCTCCAATTACAATTACAATGGCTTTAGTCCATGTTGAACATATCCGTTCCTGGAAACTTTGTCAATCAGCAGTCATTCAAACAGAATAAACATGAAATCACCTGGTCACCATGTCACATCTCCGAGCGGAAGGGTCTAACACCGAGTGTCCGAAAGAGCTGCAAGGCCCGCTGCCACAGGCGACTTTGGCTGCAAGCAAGCATGGCCATGGTGAAATCCGAGACATTGGGCCTACTCGGAGTGGATAGGGAGTGGACACGAGTTGGAGGTGTTTTGGGATGCTTGGGGGTATTGCCTCAACTTTGGACCCGGTTCCAAGAGGAATGTATCCAGCTGTCCCCTCCAAGCAGTTGTCAATGTGTGCGGCTTCACAGTTGCATCTGAAAAACCTCCCCGGATCAAAAAAAGCTATCCCAGCGCTCACACAACCATGTGTCTTCCTGCGTCGTGACCCTGGGTCAAGACTCTACTCTCCTGGCCTGATCCTGGCGTGCGGCATTGCAGTAAACAGCTGCAAGGCCTTTGCCCATTGATGGATCCTCGCCCAAAAGTCCATGGTCGCACTGGTCAGCACCACGTCTTGCTGGGACATGCCAAGCGCCTGGAGAACGGGGGCTGAGGGGTTTCAGACAGGACAACATGCACACCCGCCTAAACGACACAGAAAGCGACAAAAACTTGTTGAACTTTGAACCATGTTTCATACACATACAACTGGCAGTGCTTTTTATGGATTTCTTCTAGGGTCGGTGTATATATATAATTACATGTAACAGATTTTGCTGTCGCATGCTGTCACCTTTTTCTCAGTTGGAACTCCTGGAACACACCGGTGAATTCGATCCTTAGAGGCTCCTGAGTCGACACCCGAACCCGCGGACGGGAGGGATTCCGTCGGCGGCACGAATCGGTGTTTGAGTCGACTCAAAGCCGAGTCGATTCCTGCAGGTTGACAGGATCTAAGAATCCAAACAATGGTTGACCTGCATCTCACGAATCGTGTCCAACATGAAAGTCTTTCTGTTCAGAATCACGTGATGTTGCAGTCTGCTTTCGTCCCTGCCAACCGTTTGCCGTTCGTGAGGCATGAGGATGCATGAGGCATTCTACCAATCAAACACGTGATGTGAAGGAACCTAATTCACCAGCACCACGTTCTTTCGTCTTCATGTTCTGAAGGCCCCTGCAGGCTGCCCGCATGACATGTTTGAATCCAGCCAGGCCCCAGCCTCGATGATTGACACTCCAACCTCCCGCTGCTCCCTGCAGGTCTGTAGGAGGCTGCTCCAGCTAGTGACGTCCACAACACCAAGTTTCAGCATATTCTGCAGGGACCTGAGCTTGCATCTTCTTGATGGAACAGTTCTGCTGCACCTTCTATGGGTATGACAGATGGTGCAAGGTAGGACAGGTCGGAGCGGGAGGAGGTCGGATTCGAAGGCTTGGGGAGCAAGTTAGCAGGGATCCATTGGGAGGATAGTCGATCATTTCTATAGTGCAATAAGGCTTTGGATTATTTTTGTAGGACTACTTCTGCGTTGTTTGTTTTGGGATTCCGTGCAACATATGTTGTTGAAGTAGCAACCTTGAATGTGGTTGGTTTAATTATGCTTAAGTTTGGTTGGTTGAACAAAAGGGGTTTGCTAAGAAAGCCTCTGAAGAAACAATAACAGGCCCGTCCAGGATAGTGAAATTAGGTCCATCTATCGTGCAAAGCCCGCAGAATATCTGCATCTCTCCAGGAACTCAACGAAGAAATAAACACGTGCAATTGCAAATCCAGGAACTTAATCTCGCCAGTAGGTCTCTGAACATACTGATGTCAATCCAATGCAAAGTCTCTGGACTGAGCGTTGAAATGAGGAATCGATCTATTAAAGTAAATCACTACCAGGGTGTTTGGCTGTCCTTCGCATTGCCGCATTAAACAAATTCTCGTTCTCGACCAATAAGGCTTACCGGGATTACCAGGTTGGTTTTGCAAAAATGAAAACTATGTTTTGTGCTAACATATGTGTGATTGTCATGCAAAATGAAGCTGATCAAACAAATGCAGAATTCTTACCTCTTCCCGGCTCCTACCTCTTCCCTACAAATTAATCGGCTTGTCTGAAAATCCAGTCCCAAAGACCAGTTTCCTCTGGGCCCTCTGCAGCCAAGATACTCCAAGACCCTCTGCCAGGATTCACAGGCACTCATGGCAGTGCTGTAGCTCAAACGATCCTCAGATTCTCGGCTCCAGCATTGACGATCCGCATCAAGAAAGCATGCGGGGAGATGAGACAGTGTATGCTTGTCACACATAACGCCATACAGCACCATGACTTCTGTGTCTTTCTTCGATTGCCTTCATGACTCGCGACGCACTTCGTAGAGCGAAACAACCTGCACAGCCTTCTCTGGCTCATGTACCAACAGGATGACTCCCACTAACATGAAGCGTGTGAGCGCTATGTACAGTTTACAATGTTTGTCACTGTCTGGCGCTTGTCGTTGTACAGTTCTTTAAATGTTTATGTCGCACGGGGTTCTCCGCCTGTACAGGTGAAGCCACGGGGTTCTCTTCTACAAAAATTTTGTGAACTGATGTTGATTATGGAGTGTCGGTCATGGCGTTTGCTGTCAAGGGCGGCTCCCAAACGTCTTGCTCGTTTCCTTAATTTATTGCAATGCCTGATATTGCGGAATGACACATCAGAAGGCGTTTCTATTTGGTGCTTGATTTGAAGGATAGGGTAAGCGTTGACCTTCTTTCTGTGGAGTCTTAGGCAAGTTGGAAGCTAGTCTCCTGCCTGCAGGGTATACCTTTGTAAATGGTCTCCACCACGGCTCTCGGTTGTCTCTCTGTCTACCAGTATATAATATAATATATTATATATATATATATATATCAGCACCTTCAAAGGGGTCACCAATGGAAGCCCCTGCACCACTAAGGGACCTCCATTGGACACCCCTTGAAGCCTTTGTGCCTTCCTTCGGACAAGTGCTCGCTCCAACTTCTCAGATTCTCACGATCTTTTTTCACAAAAAGAAACACTGAACTCAGCTTGGGAGCCGGAACAGGTGAAAAGAAAGGGCCAAGAGCCAGGAGAGTTGCAAAATGTTGCAAAGCAGTGCCACGGAAGGAGCCTTCCTCTGGCTTTGAAATCATGTTGGGTGTTTGAAAGTCCTAACATGTCCTAACGTACTGTACTGTAGGAGGTTCCAACATCATGTGACATGTCCTACTGTAGCGTTTCTGGTGACTTTTTCGGGCATTGGCGGCACAGCCCAACGATGCACAGCCCAACGACGGCAGCACTGCGGCCGAGGGTCTGGGCTCAGCTTGCAGATCCTCATAGAATCGAACAGGACCATCACCTCCGGAGACCCGATGCATCGGCAAGTCACAAGAGCAAGGTCCAAGAAGCAATTAAGAGCTTCTTTTTGTTGCGCCCCTCTCCTAATGCCATCTTGTTTTTCCGAATGCGTAGCGAAGGGTTCTCGTTTAACTCTTGGGGGTCTGGGGGTAGAGCCTTGTTCGTGACCCGTTGTTTGTTTCTAAGTTCGCAACCGTCCGCAACCGTTCGCAACCGTTCGCAGTAGAGCGCTAAAGCGCTGCCATTGGGGAAAGCTTTTGCAAGTGACTTTTCATGGATGTGTCACGTGTCAGTTTGCACCGCTATTCCATTGTGATTTGCATGAAAATGACATGTTGCGCAAGAAACGTGATGCGTTTCGCTGCACAGGCGCAGCGTTTTGTGAGATCTGCAGATTGCTGCGCAGTTCCATTGGGATTAGCGCTTGGAGAGTCTTGTTTTGGGGGTGTTGGATGCCATTAGGATTTGCGTTTCAGGGTGTGGCATCGAAGCTCGGTTTTCGTGACAAGTCTCAGCTGAAATGCCGATTTTGGTGGATGGGAGTGTGCTCAGAACGGGTCGAAATCATTCCAAACGTGTGGTGTGGTGCAAATTTTGTTGAAGCTCACATGAGGTGATATTTCGTCGCAGGCGCAGGGAATCGTGAGGTTGCGAGGTGTGACGGAGGTGACATTTCGTGGCAGGCGCAGTACTTTGTGCGCGTTAGACGTGTGGACGCGGAAAGATTCGTGGCTGAATGTCGCTGTCACAGTGGGATTGGCGTGTGAACGGGTGTTGTTTGGAGGGGCTGGACTCGCGAAACTGCTTGGCAGGCCTGCGTGATGTGTGTGCTCCGATGGGTGTTTCCGCTTGACTTTTGGAGGAAGTCTCGTACGAAATGCTCGTTTTGCAGACTTTGACATGTGAGTTTTGGAGGAAGTCTCGTACGAAACGCTCGTTTTGGAGACTTGACGTGTGACTTTTGGAGGAAGTCTCGTACGAAGAGTGCCCAACAAGAGTGTCCCACAAGAGTGTCCTACAAGAGTGTCCCACAAGAGTGTCCTACAAGAGTATCCCACAAGAGTTTCGTACGAGAGTGTCCCACAAGAGTGTCCCTTAAGAGTATCCCGCAAGAGTGTCCTATAAGAGTGTCCCACAAGAGTGTCCTACAAGAGTGTCCCACAAGAGTTTCCTACAAGAGTGT